CACCGACTCTGAAATCTCAGAGGAAGAGTTTCGTTTGGTGATATCAGAAATCGCAAAATATCACAGAATGAAACAAGAGATTCGAACCAAGTCTCGTAAAAACGCTGTCATCAGCGAAGACGAGAAAAAAATGTTCATAGAACAAGGGAAGGAACAAGCCCGACAAGCCTTCATTATGAAAACCAAACAAATGATAGGAGATTCACAATAAATTGTTTCGAGGAAATCAACATGACGTAGCCAGCCGGCCAGCCAGCTCAGCGAGCTGTATGTGAATAGCCGAGCCGACAGACAGACAGACAGACAGAAACACACAGACAGACAGACAGACACAGACGGACAGACACACACACACACACACACACAGTGATTATTTCCCAAACTATTCTACCGATTTTCTTGAAATTTTGCATGCATCTCAGCAGTTGTATACACTATTACAGAACGGGATAAGGACACTCTCGAAGACTTCATTAAGTTAATTAAGACTTAATGACGGCAATACCTTGAGCATTTAGCCTTTTGCCAGACGGACCCCATGCTCACTTAAAAGTCAATATTTCCCAAACCGTTACACCGATTTCGTGAAATTTGGCATGTACCTCCACCAGTAGTATACACAATAGCGGAACGGGATTAGGGACTTACCAAGGGCTTACTTTGGAAATAAAGGCCTTGGGAAGGACCTGGTCCCGTTCCGCTATTGTGTAGACTACTGAACCTGAAGTGGTACCGTTTGTTGTTTACAAAATTTTGGCATTATATTTTTCTCGGTTTCCGAGGAAACGATTTGGACTTAGTTGGACTGTAAGTAACTGTCACATGATTTGTTCTTTCAAATATGTGTGGGCCAGGGGGATTTGTCATCTTTTGATGACTCTTGTTTAGAGATTAGACTGGAGGAATGAGAGTGGCCACCCCACCAGATGAGAATCACCATATCTGTTTGTGAATCCGGATGCTCACAGTGCCCTCATCAGCATAAATAGCGTTGGTTCACCGCATGGGTAGGAACACACCATATGAGACGACTGGGTAACGGGTTATTTCACCCCAAACACGTTCACCCCAGCACAGTTTCACTCGGGTTGTTTCACCCCACATAGTTTCATCCCATTTAGAGGTTGTTCCACCCCAGCAAATAACTATTATTATTATCGGCTTTAAAATTGTTTCAATTCAGATTGTTTGAATAATTGTATCAGTTCATATTGGCTGTGTTGGATCGGGGGAAGTCCTGTACAAACACTTTACAAATGTAAATAGTCAGTGTATTGTATTATAACAATTTACGGATTAAATGTACTCACTGGATATTTAAAAGTTATCTGTTAAACATTATTTATCAATGGGTATTAAGTATATAAGGCATGGGTCTATAAGAGCACTGTCTAGTAACATGCAGACAGACAGACCAGACAGAGGCAGCTCTCCAATCATGCAGTCGCTATGGCAGAGAAATACAAGTGTAATGTCTTACTCAATGTTGACTTATTTAAATGATTTAAGCCTGATGAGGTGCGGTGAGATTAGATGAGATATAAGCCCTATATGCCATCTCAACACAGACTCAGTAGCACTTACCTGATTTTTGCAAAAAACCTTGCCTAATGTGGATGAACAGATTTAAGCATTAATACCATTCTTTATGTACATACTCAATTATTTGGGTGAAACAATGCCTGATTAGGGGTGAAATTACTTGGGGTGAAACGACCCGGGAACCAGACGACTGCCTGCTGTGGCAAATCGGGCCTATTTGCTATTACGGGAAATGTCTGTTAACTCGTCATCATCGACTGAAACGTCTACGTTGGGCTGGGAACGCAAGACGCCGGCAACGTCGTAACTTGGTAGGAGATTTGTGGTGTTTTGGCAATATATACACTTGTTAGTCACAATAAACACACTTTATTTATGACGGGTTAATAGATATGTGCAACGGGTCATTGCTTTTTGAAACGTTATCCCCAGGCACCAAGTATGTACTTTCTTTTGTACGTTAGTTTAGTTAAGTAACGTTGTTGTGAATGTATACCCGACCAGGAACTCTAAATCGCGTTAGAAAATGCGCCAACATAGCAATCTCCGACCTCTGGGACACACGCGGATTCGACGATACCTGGAATCAACAGCAAACTGTAACTTGCCTTGCAACTGAAAAACGACCTTTTCAAACGCGTCGAAGTCCCCCTCTACTGGCGCTGGTAACAACAATGACCTAGGCGATTTCATCGATACCGAAGGAGCAGTCAGCAACAAGTGGTACGACCTAGTCCGCAAGGACGATGACGAATCGACGATGTCCCCATCTTTCGGCAGCAAGCTAATCGATCTGGACAATGTCGACACTACGGTCGTCTCCAGAAACACGCAGTACACTCTCATCTGCACCGACGACAACAAATGGGTATTCGTGCCATCTCAAATCGATTGCAATCTCAACATCACGCTCGGCTCTCCCCTCGTTTTCATGGACAACAAGAAGACAAAGTCATCAATATCCCCCGAAACGATAGTAAAGTTATCGAGAACGGGGATCTCTCGTCGAGAGCAAGCAGTTGGATGCAATCCTACAAGGGCGGAAACTTGTGCATTGCATCTATCTACATTTTCTTTCTCCCTTGTGGGATTGTGACCACAGCGGACATTTTGCTAAAACTTTTCAGTGTATATCAATCATGCTCTCAGTCGCCAGGGCTCCATTTTTTCATCATTGCTGGAGCCTTAATTAATAAAATTAAGACTTAGTAGGGACCTGAGCTGAAACTATCATTCCCTATACTACTGGAGTTCATACCACAATTGTTAGGAATGAACCACACACCTTGCAAGAAGGGCAGGAACGCTATATTGTCTCTCAGACACGTTCGCTACCACGATTATCCAAAGAACCGTAACGTCTCTATTTTCTCAGACGTACCAGTATACTGATACAAGATAATGTTGACTTATAATGAGCAGATAAATCAAGACTTCTGGTGAGACAAAAAAGCAAAACTGTTGTTGTTTTTCTGCGTAACTGATAATTCGCAATTGACATTGAAGAAGATGTCTTTTGGTTGAAATTCTGAACATTGTGTCACGTTACATGCAGATAAGTTCCGGGATCAGGTCCTATATGAATTTCGTGGGCTTGAATGGTCAGCATGTTTTGAGCAGTGACAAAACAGTTTCCGGATTCACACAACCACTGGTCTTGAGGAGTTTGAGATCACTGAAATACGTGCCAATATACGAATCTTTAAACTAATGTTCTGCACTATGCAAGATTGCTATAGTCTGTTCTAGAAGATGCCAGACCATCTTTGGTCACACCAGTTCTTTCATCAGAAAGTAACAACGAACTGACATTTAACTTGTTGGAACAGTGTTATGAACTTCTACTGAATCTTAATAGAAACAATGAATTGTAATTACAATATCTTAACGTCCATATAACATCACATGTCCAAATAACATAAGAGACCATTTTCTTGTGCAAACTCTAAATAAGTCTTTGCTGAATTTTCAGCGGTGAAAATATACTAAGCAGCAAAAGAAACGTCAGGTTGGAATTTTCCTTCGCAGAACTGACAACTGTAAACTCATTTAATGTTTTGATGGCATATTTTTGACAACATATCCAACAGTACCTGAGCAAAGACATTCCTTCCCAAACTCAGGAAATGATCTCAAAAGCGCAACCTAGACCTTGAAGATGGTACGGTGTTGTCCATGTTTTTCATTCAACTCATGCTGCACGTGCTGTTCACAAGGACCAGCCCTATAAAATGGACCCCCAAACATGTTTGAAACATTAACATTACAACGTCACGACAACTCAGAGGAACCAGCTGCCAGGAAGACTTGAAGCTGGCCACACTGCACAAGCCGTTGCCAATCACTTCCAGGTCAACGTTCGGACAATACACAGGATGCAGCAACGATTTCGGGCCACCAACACCACAAATGATCGCCCCCGTACTGGCAGACCAAGGGTGACCACAAGACGACAAGACCGCATGTACAGAATCCCTTCATACAGGCATCCGAAACAGCACGCCAGACAGTGGAAACACACGGAAGACCAATCAGTACTGATACAGTACGCCGACGTCTTAACAGCGGGAACCTCCATTGCCGTAGACCTTACCGTGGACCTATCCTCACCCCTCGTCATCAGCATGAACGTCTACAGTTTGCCCTACAACACCAAAACTGGCGATACAGACAATGGAGAACTGTTCTGTTCACAGATGAGAGTCGGTACTGCGTATCAAGTGCAGATGGCAGAACAAGAATATGGTGATAACGTGGCCCGTGTTACTCAGACCAATGTGTTATGGAAAGAGAGTCATGGGGAGGTGCAAGCATCATGGTATGGTTTGGAATAGGCCTGAACCAGAGAGTGGGTCCTGTGGTGTTCCAGAACCTTGGTCCAGGGAGAGGAGGCGGCATCAAAGCAGTGCGCTACATCGACCAAGCTCTGAGACCCCACGTCATAACACATTTCGCACGTCACCAGAACAACATTTTCCAGCATGATAGCCCCCGGGCCCATACTGCCAGAGCTACAAGGGACTTTCTACAAGAGAACGGTGTCAACATTATGCACTGGCCACCCCTTGGTCCTGATTTAAACCCAACTGAACATCTTTGGGATGAAATTCAGAGAAGACTGAATAATGTCATATCAAGGCCGAACACAGCCAATTTATTGCGCCGAACACAGGCCTTTCTCAGAGTGTGGTTCAAGGTGCCAGTGGCCTTCATCAATCGATTGATTCACTCCATGCATAGCTCGTGGTGGTCACACTAGATACTGAAGTCAAGAGTCTGAATGGAGTGCAAGATATTGTATACAAAAAATGTTTTTGATCCGCTTACTATGTCCATTTCTGTAATGATTTGATTACAGTGCCTATCTAATTTTGAATTCTTACTGGCGTTGTTTTTTGCTGCTGAGTATGTAATAGTTCTTTACATTGAATGTTTAAGTTGATAACAAAGAGACTCACAATTGTTGGTTCACCCGAAGTCCTCGTGGTTGGGTGAGGTTGGCTAGGAGTATCAGTTCAGCACCAGATATGACGTGAAGGGTTGAAAGCACCCCAGAAGACGTTGTGTAGAACAAGAGGTCAGAGGCACTGTCTATGTCTAGACCGGTAATCACAATCTCTGTTTGAAAGGTAGAACAACGTTATTGGTAACATCTCCCACAGCTTGCATTTATTAAGTTTAGACAAGGGTTCCAGGGGTATCAGTGGTGCTCATTCACATCAGTATTAAACACCGCTGGACTGGTAAAACTGGTTAACTGATAAAAAACCCCAAGCTAGCACGTCGCTTGTGATTTTGACATCCTCTAGGACTGATGTAATCTAGACATACTCAGTCGCTCTCGACTTGAGTTGGAGTTTTTAAGCATATTCTCAGGGTTTGGGAGATAGACTAACTTATGAATGGAGACATTGCTGTTCCAAGAACACAAGCTAAGAACCAACTAAGGTATTGATAAGTTTGATTCTAGTGGGGTCTAAGATCTGTTTTTTCATAAATTAAATTTTTCAGTCTCTTGTATTTTAAAGTCTTATTTTCTTTTTCCTTATACGCTCTAAAACAACAACTTTGACGATTTAAATCATTTCAACGTTTGTATTGTGGTAAATGTCTATCTTTGAGATTTTATCCATAATTTAGCAGCTCATTATGTGAAAAAAAGTATGTGTTGTAAATTGAGGTGGTGTGTGCCCCTGTGCGTAGAGCTCAGGTCACAAATCAGTTGCATCGCTGGGCGCGGAGAGACTTTGGATGGGTGATCCTGTTTGGCAGCTTGACTCCTGAGAGTTTCTCGGACTTCTGTCCTGCGCCTCAATGTGGTCTCACCTTAGGCAAGTGACTTTGTTCAGTATTGCCTCTGTTCACCCTGCAGATAAAGGGTACACGGTGGGAAAAGTCAAACTTCTTGCGCCTTACAGGCAGCTTGGGTTATCTGGGATGATACTAAACTGCGGAACTCTGTTAGCGCTTTGAGCACACTTTGGTGTGGAGTTTAGTGCAATATAAGAATCCATATTATATTTTACAGATTTAGATGAAGAATGCAGCAGAGAGGGCTCGGGTGATCCTGGCACATTCAGGAAAAGTGTACACAGCATGCTTGGGCCCTAACCATTTAGCATTACTATCTTCACTTATTTCGGGGTGCCCATCACATCGGCACAAGTGAGACGATTCGGGCCATATATAACATGACTATTCTTTATTACAAATTAAGCTTATGGGAGACTTATATTTTACAAATGTTTTGTTGAAAACATGTAGTGTATTAAATACTAGTCAAACTGGATGAACAGCAGTTTATTAATCTAATTGCCAAATATTTCGTGAATAAATCCCCTGAAATGCTTTTGTCTAGGGCTTAATTCGTAATTTTGGTAATTTGTTTTCAAGTGGTATTTATTTGCGTTACCTACGAATACAGTTTTCAATGATTCTGTCAATTTATGTAAATGCAACACAAGGTTATGTTTTGTATTACTTTTTACAGCGTTAATATGTAAAGTACTCAAATGCAATGGCGTTACATAATATTTCTTACAAAATCTAAAAAAATGTTAAAAAAACAAGGTCTGATTTGGTAAAAAATTCACGTTTCCTACAAATACAATTAAATATGTTGCTGTTTCGACAGATGAACACATTAGTCAATGATATCCTAAGTCCAAGTGCAAAGGGCCACAAGGTATACGTGTGTCACATCTGAACATTTTTTGTGCTGTTTTTACGAAGATATCACACAAAATAACCTGTATTCGTAGGTAAATTTTAACTCCCAAATGTTACATACCAACAACTGATCACATTTAAATAGATTGGTGGAATGACAACACGTGACATGTGTTCCATTTAGAAGTCATCGAAGATGAGACCAGACAATATCTGGGTGATTAGTAAGTGTATTTTACATTTTCTGTAAGAATGTTATATACTGAGTCAAAAAAGAAACTTCACAAAATGTAATTTGAAAAATAATGAATAATTTTTCTCTGATGATTCATCTATGTATCCGAAATGGGATCCCTATCTTTCGACTCTAAAAAAACGTTAGCAAAACCCACTCAAACCCATCCATTCGTCTTGCAAATGACGTTAGTGCCAAATCAGGTTTTGCACGTGCAGTGGATCACGCGATCTTCGCATCGAAGTTTTCTTCATATGCACGTGTTTGCATTGGCCTCAGGAATTGAAAAAACACTTTTAAACCACAGTTCTAACGGTACTTGAAATGCCACGATTGTCAAATGTGCAACGTGAACGTGCCGTTGGCATGTTGCAAGCGGGAAGATCAGTTATTGACGTCGCAAGAGCAATGGGATGCAGCCGTCGTACTGTGTATGACTTGCGAGGTCGTCTACAACAAACTGGCACCACTTCTGATCGCCCAAGGTCGGGTCGTTTACGTGTGACGTCACGAGCAGAAGACCGTCAAATCGTCCTACGTCACCTACGTGACAGATTTTTGCCGGCTACACGAACCAGGGCTGAGATGTTTAATGGTCGACTGTCCTCACAGACCATTCGAAATCGGTTGCGGGCTGCCAATCTCCATTCTCGACGTCCATATCGTGGGCCAATATTGACGCCGTTTCATCATCGTCAACATCTGCTGTGGGCCCAACGTCACCTCCGATGGACCCAGAGAGACTGGAATCGAGTCGTCTTTAGCGATGAATCCAGGTTTACCCTCAGATTCGCGGACGGCAGGCATAGTGTCTGGAGACGACGTCGTGAACGGTATGCCCAATGTTGTGTACAGGAAGTCGACAGATTCGGGGGCGGAAGTTGCATGGTGTGGGGTGCTTTCTGTGGGAACAACCGTTCCCGACTTCTGGTCATCCGTGGAAATCTCACAGCTGCTGCTTACCGCGACCAGGTGCTCACCCCTGAACTCGTTCCTTTCATAGCGGCTCATGGCCCAGGTCTACATTTCCAGCATGATAATGCTCGGCCGCATACCGCGATGTTGACACGAAATTTCCTTCAAAACGCTGGAATCAACGTCATGGACTGGCCATCGAGGTCCCCTGACCTTAATCCAATAGGCCACGTTTTGGGATGCACTTGGGAGAAGGCTTCGTGGTCTTAGGAACCAACCTCAGAATTTGCAGGAACTTGGCGCTGCCTTGCAAGAGCAATGGCGCAGAATCCCCAACCACGTGTTCACAAGCATCAGGCAGTCGATGAGGAGACGGTGTTTGGCAGTGGTGAATGCGCGGGGCGGCCATACACGATATTGAACTGAGAAATTTCGCATGTTTATTCTTGTGACTTGACATTCTGTATACCCATGTTTTGGAACGGCGGTGTAGCCTAATGGAACTGATTATGGCACTGTCAGTGTATCGAGTACATCACACAGATCTCGGCAATGAAATAATAACAATTTAACCATCTTACCATCTCTTGTTCTTTTAAAGTTTCTTTTTTGACTCAGTATATAAATATACCCATGTCACAATAACATAGGATGCATATGACACTTGTTACAACTAACCAACTTATTATTGTAACAAAAAGCCTCAGACTGCAAGTGGAATTGACATGGGGGCTCAAATGGTAAGACATGGTGTCCCGCTGGGATTTCCCCGGTTGTGGCTCACGGTATTTGTACGTAACATGTATTCGTTGTTAACAAAATGAAATAGAGAACACAATACGCTACTAAAACATAATTTATACTGAAAACAATTATTGCAGATCATAAGTCAACTGATTAGGTACGCAGAACTGTCTATTGATAGATTGAAATGGTTCCTTGGAATTTCAAATGGCTACATAACTGAGCGTTCAATAAAAATGTTCTGTTCAGGGATGCACTGCAGTTCGTGGTTTAGACGTTATTATAGTGATATAATGAATTATTTTTGATTGAAATGTCAGACAACAAGTTGATATTGGTGATAAAAGTAAAAGTTTGCATGATATCACGCGATCAACGGTTGATTCGTTCGTAACATGTGTTTTCGCTGGTAACATTCCGTATTTGTAGGTAACATCAGTTAGTGTGTTTGAAGTTGTAAGTCTTGTTCAGGGCTGTCACCGATGCACTTGCGAACATAGGATAATTTAGACTGTAGTAGAAGTTAGTTGCATGGGTTTAGTAGTTAGATTTGTCAAAGGTATGTCTTATTCGCAGGTAGCTCGTTTTTGTAGTTGAAACTTTCTGTAAATGTCTATCTAATAGCAATTGTCATTGCAAAATATGGGTAATTAAAGCAGAGTTATAGTTCAGGAAGACGCATAATGCATTGATTGTTTTAGTGACATGTTTATCTCTACATTATGGTTTATGGTATACGGTAATAGTTCAAGCGTTTTAAACATTTGTGAAGTGCTTTCTTTGAATACAAATGTCAGTTGAAACATTTGGTAAATAAAATTCAAGGTGTATTGACTTTAGTTCAATTTCTATACTTCTCATCAACATTTTAGACTCACCAGTGTAAATATAGCCACTTACTTCAGGCGACTGTTTTAAACTAAATTTTGCAAAATATTCCATACTGTTTAAAGGAACTGTTTACACATGAACTGATGTATTGTAAAACAAATTTGTAACATTGAAAACCTTATTGTCATGAGTTCAATAAATGATAAAAATTAGTGCAAATTGGCGAATTCTGAACACAATTTACACCAAAATGCAGCTATTCACATGTACGATATTTGCACATGCTTTTCAGCAATTTGATGCATGATCCTCGTGCAATTCATCTGCATAAGGTTTGCAAGTGGTTTTCCAAGTATATATACATATGTACATACTCACATATAGTGAGTGTTTCTAGTGAGACTAAACTTTTGATGAGAAGTATATTTCCATCAGTTAAAATGAAATTGCTACTTTCCGACATAGACTGAGACAGAACAAAGAGAAAGCCTAAACCGGCCTTAAACTTTATTCACATGTCCTATGCACTTAGATAAACAATTTCCAAACTGTTCGATGTTTTAATAAACCAGCTATGATTTAGTTTGACATGTTTAGACATTTATGAAATATACTAACCACATAAAGAAACTGTGCATTGTCAAAATATTATCCCAGTTGATAAGTACGATAGCAATGTCAAAGGTACATATAAACTTTAATGGAGGGATCCTGAGACCATAACAAGTCGGGAGAATTCAATTGAAAAGTCAATCACAATGACGTCACGAGTCCACAAGCGGCACAGGGGTCAAACGACCATGTCACAAGCTCAATAACGGGTGAGCTTCCACCATCGGCATTGAGAACAGCAGTGCATCGACGACGCATAGAGCCTATCAAACGTGCAAGGAAGGCTTGTGGGATGTCACGCCAGATTCTCTCAAGTTCTGTTGCAAGGTCAAGGAGGTTATCTGGCCGATGAGGAAGACGGCGTAGACGTCGATCTATCTCGTCCCACACATGCTCTATCGGGGAGAGATCCGGTGAATTTGCAGGCCAAGGCAGTAAGTCAACGTTGTGGTGTTGCAAGAAATCCATAGCAACCCTTGCCGTATAAGCGCGGGCATTATCCTGTTGGAATGTTAACCCAGGGCCATGACGTTGCAGAAAAGGAATTACCACAGGTCGAAGAATCTGATCCTTGTAGTCCACACCAGTTAAGTTGCCCTGGACAATCACCAGGAGTTCTTTGGCGTGCTGTTATTCCACCCCAAATCATCACGAAACCACCACCAAAGCGATTCCTCTCCAAGACACAGGCCTGTACATAACGTTCTCCCACGCGTCTATAGGCACGTTGACGTCCATCACTATGGGATATCTTAAACCTGGACTCATCTGTAAAAACAACTTTTCTCCACCAAAACAAGGGTCTGAGGACATGATTTCGGCACCACATTCGGCGAGCTTGTCGATGACGTTGTGTCAGGATAGGCCGTATAGGCGGGACGTCATTTGTGTTCTGGTAGCGTCTCACCAGTGCAGAAATGGTGTTCCGGTGGCAGTGGAAATGTACAGCCACTTTTCGTTGAGACATTCCCCCACGGACCATCCTAATGGCCTCATGACGTTGTGCAGACGTGAGCCTTGGCATGCTATGCGTTTCAATAGCCGTTAAATTTTTTGAACGATCGCAAGGGCAGGGGTTGAGCTTTCCAAAGTGACAGTATTGTGTGGCATTCATTTGCTCTGTTTCTCTTTCCCGGAATGCAAGTGCAACTACGTATTGAACGTCTCAAGGACGAACCCACTGACGTCACGGAACGTGGCACCTGCATGCATGTTGGATACATGTCACTGATCTCTGAGTTTAAATCCTTATGTGTCTACACAGGTTTGATAAACTTAGATTTAAAATTTTTGTATGCACAGTTTCTTTATGTGCCTAGTGGATTATGTGGTATTTGTCACCTACAAGTACATTGTTTTTATCTTCCACCGAAAATTTAGTTTTTGATGCATTTTCAAATTTGTTGTTATTACCGAAAGTTCCACCCGTTGTCTCTCAGATGAATAAGATAGATATGAATAATTATTTGTTTGTGAAAAGAACACTATGTGGTGATATCTCACTTACATCAAACAAAGGTACCAAAATGGTTCTATTTTCGTAAAGCTTGAGGTTATAAAACATGAAAGAAACCATGATTTGGCTTCAGAATTTCTATAGTCATTAACATATTGTGTGCGTGCACTAACTTATCACTTTTAGAGATCAGTGATGGCAACTGATTTTCACGAGGCAAATATGTTGACTTTACATTGGTAAAAGGAATTACAAGGTGCAAGCAATTCTATTTTGGACCCCTTGTACCTAGCTGTGCACACTTTTCGTTGGAATCGACCATATATCATGCTTTTCCTGAATCTTCGCCAATCGCGTTGCTGTCAAAAGGGACAAAAAATTCAATGATATAAATAAATTTATTGGCTTTATCAAAAAGGACAAGATCGGGTTTGTTGGCTGAATTCTCCTGAGGCTGTATATGGGCCTATTCCACAGAAGTTTAAAAGCATCATTTTCCATGACGCCCTGGACGTGTTCAGGGTCATACCATGGATAGACCTCGGAGTCAAAGCCACAGGCGAAGACGATAGTAGAAACAACAAGCCATACCATCATGTCGTTTAAGATATGCTGTTTGTGCCAACGAAGGGCATCCACTGACAAGGTGTTGGACAGTCTCTGTAAATTCATTACATAATCGACATTTCAGGTTAATATTTTCCTTAAGAATTATTATTATAATACATTATATAACACTGAAGTTCACCACGGGCCCAGCTACAAAGCATGAGCTAAACTGAGTCTATCTGAATGCATTGTAAGATACTATAAGACCATAGTAAAATCTTGAGTAAGGGCACAACTGAATAACCTTTCAGAAAGTAAAAAAATGTATTATCACCATTACACAAAGCTACACAGTTGCTCTCCTGCAAACAAAGCATCTGTATCTGCACATTCCTCTTACTGTCGATATAAGTAGAAATAATACATAATCATTCATTCATATACATTCATTTTTAAAATCAAGCTTTATGGGTACGTCTGAAAACGTGTGAAATTAAGTATTGTATCCTTCAGAACAGCTCCCTGGTATTTCATTCTAGGAATTCCTTTTGGGACCATAGGAGACACTTAGAACAAGAAGCAACTGGCAACATATCAATACCGTTATGATTATTTGTAGTTTCTTTGCGATGACATGAATACAGTTTGAAAACTACAATTAAGAACTAGACAAACATGGTTAACACCCAGACAACAACAACAAGAAATTAACTAGAAGCTGATTTCTTTCCTGAAGAGATTGTTGACATACCTTTCTGGAATTGGAAGAGCAATTCCTGGTCAAGTCCATTCATTTTTACTCTCCCGATTGCGGCTGGGGACTGTGTGGTGAAATAAACAAACTGATCCCTCTGATTGTAGACGAGATGATCAACTATTCCACCGTATCTCTCAACAGCCACAAAACTTAATGCCATGCTGTGAAGGTTAAGAATTCCAAATTCTGAGTCACCAATACCAAACAGCAGTCGAAGCTCCGATGTATTCGTGTCTGAAATGGCAATATATGTAAGAATGGCATACAAGACTATGCTATGTTCTTTTGTTAGAACATCTTCATTAAACGTTTGACTGTATAGAAAAGTATCAAGTCCTAAACCTCTTTGTAAAGCTGCATGAAGATTTATGTTACTATCAAGAAATCGCTTCTTTACTCATGATGCCTTACTGTCACGTTGGGCAATTCCAGTAACCGAATCAACGAGCTATCCGCGGTTTAAGTGACAAAACGTCCTTGTTCTACAGCCATAAAAGTTTTAACCTTAATGTCAATACACTTCTTCTGCCATACGCTGTTCTATTTTCTTATAGAAGTGGGACACTCAAGCAGGTATCAATGAATGACATACAATAAAACCCTATATTGGTAACACCTACTTTGTCAGTCCAGATATGAAGAGGTCAATATTCGACGATGTCGTATTGGTCATACAAGATATACTCTTGAGTATATGCTAAAAGGCGAAGATAATCCATTCTGCATCCCTTGTGACGAAAGAATCACGGCCAAGCATGTCCTCCTGCTTGACTTTTGATTTTTCCATCGCAAGGGATAAATATGTCAGTGGTCAAACTATTAAGGATCTTCCTAACAATGTTCATAATCATTTTATTATCGATTTTTTAAAAAGAAATTGAAATTGTTCTGACTTTTTTTTGTGGAAACGTAAATTTGCTAACTTAATCTAATGAACTAAACGTGATAACACTTATTGTTCACAATGTAAAACTGAGGAACTAAACGAGATAACAATTATTTCTAATGAGGAACTGAAGAACTAAATATGATAACACTTATGGGTAAAAAACGAATATGTGAAGAACTAACTGAATGTGTAAACTTTTGCGTTGATGAATTTCTAAGAATTTAACTAATTTCACTAACCCCACATATAACTAAATTCTAACTCTATTAATTTTCATAACCCGACTAATACTAAACTAATCTAACCCTGAATATCTAACTTCTAACTTTCTTTACTAACTAAACCCCACTGATTGTCTAAGCTAATTTATGAATATCTAACAACTGACTGACTTTCTAACCTAACTCTTAATTTACGTGTGGTATCAGCGAAGTTGAAAACCGAATTGAATTATAATTCTAACATATGAAATCTGGGAGCGTGTGTAGTTCACGCGCAGGCAAATCTCGTGCAGTCAGAGTCTATGCGCTTCCATGAATGTTTTTTAAATTCCATAAACATTAACTGAACGAGATGCGTTTTGAGTAAACTCTCTGTGCCATTATCTGATATAATCAGTTTGGGCATTCCACGTCTGTCGGCCATACGAGACAATGCTCTCAAAAAAGAATACGAATGTAACCCAAAGGCAATCTCAAGGTGAACATCTCTGGTTGCTAAACAAGTAAACAGGCAAAGATATCTCTTTTGCCTACTCCTGCCACGACCCTGAAGAGTAATAAATGGACCTGTATAATCCACCCCTACTTGTTCAAATGCCCGTCATGAGGCTTGCACTCTCACAGGCTGTAGTTCGGCCATGATTTGATGTGTAGGCTTGGCCTTTCTTCTGCGACACCAAGAACATCTCCCATCTTCGAATTTCCTCCCTAGCTGACACTATCCAAAACCTGGTACTGATTGCTGCTTACGTAGCATTGGTACCTCCACTTCTCATGGTCGAACATTCACCCACTAGCTGAAGCTCTGAAGCAACATCGTCGTTGATGTACGTTTGAGTGCTAGAATCATCTAATAATGCGTTAACTGTCAAAGAACGGTTTCCATTTTTCAAAATTACAGGAATACTTCTCAACGCCAAATAATTTGACGTGTCTTTTAACGTAGACATTGTTGTTTGGTTGCCAGCTTCTGACCCTATAGTTTGAGGCGAATATGGTTTGCTAAAGGTTGTCTCTGCAGGTGGACCACCACTTGTCCTCTGCTTGGCATGAAAAAATCGATTGTGATCTGCTTTACAACCATCAATTCCACATTCAACTGCTATTGTCTGAAAATTGGACTCTAACAATGTCCATTCTTGTAAGGTCTCAAACTGACTCCTGTCGCTGTTGTTCATAAATCCACCTTTTGTAACGAGTAATCATGCTTTCTGTCAACTGTGTTAACAAAAGAGCATAGGGACATCAGTAGTATATACACTGGGGATACAAGATCACTTTTGACAAAAAGCCCTTGTAAAGCGTTATTTCATAAATAAAGCTTTTATCAGGCCCTAATCTCTTCCGCTATTGTATATACCACTTTTGAATCCCCAGCCAACTTCCTGGTCACTATGACCGCAAACCAACACTTTCCTTGGCTATGTATAACCTATATAATGTTGGCCTTGACAAAACAATTTAATGTGAATCTCCTATGATTTCTTTGGTTTTCGTAATGAAGGCTTGCGGGGCTTGTTGTACCGCTTATTCTATGTACTTTTCTCGTCTTCGCTGATGACAGTGCTTTGATAAGAATCTCATTTTCTCTAGGGCAACCCATTTTTTCAGCAACCATTTTTTTTTTCGACCCGGCACCAAGGTTGCTCGAACATCCAATTAGGCATAATTGCTACAATATACAGGATACACCCCGACAACAACAAAATGGCAAAGCAAATCGCAGCAAGAAATGGGCATTCGGCGCAGCAAATCGATCACACACCACCTCCTACTGGAAAACACGCATGACAACAACCTTGTGTCCGACATCTCGACGGTAGACTATCTCGCCGGAAATCTCGAGGAAACCCACCTGCAACCACTCTCCGGTCTTCCAGCCTTTGTCGACGACCTCTACGTGTTTGGTTATCTATCTTGCAAAGACATTGTGCAGCACAAGGGAAGCGTCCAATATACGACAGGAGAACACGTCAACGTGAAAAAAATCGTCGGACTACTCCACTGGATACTATGCACCAACTACAAAGAGCATACCGAAGCAACCAAAATGTATGCGACACTTCTACACACGGTGCAAAAGACGAGTGCAGGAGCTATTGCCAGCACGATCCAAAAGATAGAAAGCGAAACCCAGCAGAAATCGTTACGGGCATGGAAAGCCCAAAACAACGACGAAACCCCTTTTGCAGTCTTTGTGGCCAAAGTGGACGTTTCTGAAATCACGATCGACCGACTCGAAGTGAAATTGTCCAATCCAGAAACAAAACTACAAGGCAACGGACTAGGATCTACAGCATTGACTACAGCCGAGACTATTCTGGCGTCCTAGACCGCGAACAGCTCATGCAATTCCTCTGTAGCCAACATGGATTTGTCAAGCAAGGCGATCTCGTGGAAGCTATCGAAAGTGGAAAACCCATCATCCTGGACAACACCCACTCGGTCGGCAACCATGTTTGCACGTGGGTAGAGACAACAAAGTCTGGCAAAACGATGCACACCAAGCCGTACAACAAAGTCGTTTGCAACTTCGAAGCCGGAGAAATCCGAGTACCGATTGGCGGCCATCTTGCCGACTATGTGGATTGTCCAAACGAGCATCTCCGGAAAAACTTTCACGTACAACAACGAGGTTGCACTCACATGGAATGTCACTGTACGCCTGCCAACACACAGACATGTCCACCAACAGAGCAGAAAACGTTTTGCAAGACGTGTTGGAGCGGGTTTCGCCAGCAGGCGACGGGCTATTCATAGTACAACCACCAGCAACGCAGTGGCTTTGTCTCGCAGAAAAGATAGACTGCTGTTTGGTGCTAGCCGACAGTCCACAGCAAACGATCTTCGTCGCGTTGTATGCACATTCGAAAACAGGCTGCGTGTTCGGAGTACACATTCGTCCAACCAACACAGAATCCTGGGGAAAAAACATCAACTGGGCCATAGGAGACTTCGGTTTTGGAAGGGTTCCAATATTCAGCGTGGACATCCTATCGGTAGAAGGAGATACAGTGGAACTAGGCCAACTACGCAAAAAGGAGATCGAAGCTCTGCAAGACAGTTTCGCAGAAGCCACAGCATACATCCAAAAATGAAGACAATCCCAACTGCTTGTGGAAAATGCTCTCCGCAATATGGATACAAACAAAGTAGGGGCAATAGCTGACCGATATAGCATTCTCGGCTTCCGAATCACCAACCGTCCACAAACAACGTCCTCCAATCGCCAACAGTCGAAAGGAGCAATGTTTAGACTACAGCAGAACGAAGACAGACTGTTTCAAGCGGCAAACGTATTGGTTGGTAGAAAAGGATTTCTCTCGAGACAAAGTGTACGAACACACCCTGCAAATCGAGATCGAATCCTCCAAAAGATCGTTCTTCGACAACCTGCAAAGAGATTCGTTGGAAGAAAATACAGGTAGTGGCATCTCCTATGGGAAAGGAGTATCTGGACGAGCGCAGGAAAAGAGAGGAAATAGAGAACATGTTGGAATACGAAGAATATCTAGAACTACAAATGGCTATGAAATCCATCGCCCAGGTATCACCACCAAAAACGCCAGCCATCCAGAAATGTGTAGACTTTCCAGAAGGGATCTATGCCATCCACAGGTTTGCAAAACAGATGTATCGTGGGACCGAGTGAACTATCCTGTATGTACAAGTGTTGAACGAAAATGGAGCGCCAAAAGACGATGTAGACATTCCCGTACAAGGGCATTGGATGGACAGTGCCGTAGCAGATATAGATCTGTCAACAAAGCAAAGCCCAGCTCTGTGTAGTCCAGGCCCCATTCGCACAACGCCAAAGAAAAAGAAAGCTAGAATCGTACGAATAGAAACTACAACACAATGCCACCTCGAGAAGTACAAGTCCACAGACTCTTTCCATAGCCGACAGCAAAAAGTCTGGTCTTGCCCCAATTGTATAGTTTTCTAGACAGACCCTCCGACAACTCACCTAGTATTTTTGCAGATGCACAGTTGCGGGCTTGAGCCTCCCCGAGCGGTCGTAGAAATCCTGGACGGTGGGCGCAGTCGACGGATCTGCAGCAGGCAATACGGTTGTGCTGGAGGTCGACGTCAGATTTGGAGCTATCATGCCAGTGAGCAAGAGTTCTGCGGTTGGCAATACGGATGTGCTGGAGTTCGGATTTGTAGCGGGGGAGGAAGAAATGGGCTTTGTACCTATTTGCATATCTTCTTCTGTGTTCCATATTTTGCGTAGTCGATTGGAACCAATTCCAAATCGTTTCGTTTCTTGTGCAGAGATTTGTCCATGCATCTTGCGAATCTCCTCCACTTGGTCTTGCGATAGTTGTCTTTTCGGAGGCATTGTGTTTGTACTATATATCTGCATTTGCACAATTGTCTATATGGAAAACTAGGCAGAACCTAGGCGAACTAGGCAAACTAGGTACAAACTAGGTGTGAACTAGGCAGAACCTAGGCAAACTAGGTAGAAACTAGTTCTGCGGAATTCCTAGTTTGCACCTCTTTGCGTGATAGATAGCCAAACACGTAGAGGTCGTCGACAAAGGCTGGAAGACCGGAGAGTGGTTGCAGGTGGGTTTCCTCGAGATTTCCGGCGAGATAGTCTACCGTCGAGATATCGGACACAAGGTTGTTGTCGTGTGTGTTTTCCAGTAGGAGGTGGTGTGTGATCGATTTGCTGCACTGAATGCCCATTTCTTGGAAAGTTGCTGCGATTTGCTATGCCATTTTTTTTTGTCAGAGTGTATCCTGTATATTGTAGCAACTCTATATGCCTAATTGGATGTTCGAGCAACCTTGGTGTCAGGTCGAAAAAAAAATGGTTGCTGAAAAAATCGGTTGCCTTAGTGAAAATGAGATTCTTATAAGTGCCTGATAAAAGCTTTATTTATGAAATAACGCTTTACAGAGGCTTCTGTCAAAAGTGATCTCGTACCCCCAATGTATATACTTCTACATCCATCTCCTAACTCCTCTACTTTGTCAGCCTCTCGAAAACTAGCTACTGCAATGTCCAGCAGATCAGCAAATTTGTCTAAATCCTTTGCATTTCCAGGACTCAATGGTTTGAAGTTAGATATTTCCTCTAACTCTAAGGTAATATGTCTTCTTGTGCCCCCATATTTTCTTTCAAGCCATTGTTAGGCAATGTCATAAACAGCAGCGCTATGCCCTAATTTTGCAATAAGTTGAGCTGCTTCTCCAGATAGGTATTGTTTCAATTGAAACAGCTTATATTCATTGCTGGTAGGTGCTCTATCGACACAGGCCATGAAGGCTGCTTTTCACCCTTCATATTATACTACTTTGCCTGAGAAAATAGGGTGAACACTCGCTTAAGTTGTCTCCATAAATCGTCACCAATATTTGGGTACTTTAAAGGGTAGTCAATTATTTAGGACTACTTCATTTACAAAGGAACTTTGTTTGCTTTTTATTTACAATATTTACAATTCGTAAGTGCGACAAAAAAACACAATGAAAAATATATACATAAAGAACAAAACAAACTTTCTTACAAAATTGTGCAAGATGTATTTCAATTTACACTTGGCAATGGATGTGACGATAATAAAAAACATATGAGATTAAAAAAAGCTTTTAGAAAGTTTTATTTGAAACTCATTCCAATAACACCTCTTTCTAATCTGAAAGTAACATTTCACATCAGTATAAAGTGTTCATGACAATGAATGAGTATCAAGTTCTACTTCTCAGTTTCACTGTCCTTGCTGAGAGTCCTGAACATGTGACTGATACTATGAGGTGTGCGTAGGGTCCAAGAGACCGCTTGGCAGGTTCAGAGATATACCTGCTGCAGCACTGGAGTCAAAGCTGGGGAAGATACACATGTACCAGCTGTTCCGCTGCTTTGTGCAGTGTTGGAGAGGGTGTGTGCTCAGGGTGGGCCACTGGGTGGCAGTAGGTTGGTGTGGAGAGGGTGTGCTACCACTGACAGCTGTTTGGCTCTGATGAACAATTGGGAAGATTGTGATCATCTATGCGGTCGGCGTGGACGTGATTAGGTGGATTTGAGTTCGAGTCGTCAACTCCAGGTCGAGTCGAGGCCGAGTACAGATCGACTCTAAGACGAACACAGATCGGCATGTCAGGCCAGCTCGACCTTCAACACGACAAACTCGACCTACCTCGACCTATTCTCAACCTGGTCTCGACCCCATTCTCGGACCGAAGGTCGAGGTTGAACTGGGGAAAACTTTTGACATGTCAACAAAAATTCAAAAGCTCCAGATCTGACTCGACCTGACTCGACCTAGCTCATCTAACTCGTTCTGAAACTCAACCAGCTCGACCTTCAGGTCGAGAGGGTCGACTAGCGCAAGGACGATCTGGGACCGCACCATTACAAATACCATCGTACAGCTGTAATACTACTGAAACAAATATTTACTCATGATATTGTCACTTTTGTACAATCGCCTCTGCTTTCTTCTAAATGTGGAAAAAGTTTTATCGCTTCTATTTACACTACTTTTGCTATCTGCATGGACCCTAGCTAGATTTACACAATCCCTTCACCCTATGGCGACTGTACTCCAATTTGGCTAAATTATTAAACGAAAATATATTCTGCGATTAAAAACATAGAGGATGAAAAATACTTTGCATGAAACGGGACTTACATACCCTCTCAAGGCGGAAAGCATTTACACTACTTCAACCCCCTTTCAAGGTATTGCCACCAACAAAGATTTTTTTTTATTCTAACAAATTAAAAATCACTCAATAATTACTATACGAAATAAAAAATAATTATCAACTTAATCAAGTTATTGCTTTTTCAAAACTAAGGTTAATGTACATCAACTTCAGTAAAGAATCCGTTACTGGTCGGACATTTCAATATATATCCCTTGTAATGGAACTATCAACACAGTGAAGCAGGACATGCTTTACCGTAAATCTTTCATAACAAGGAATATAAAACGGAGGATTTTCACCATCCAATAAATAGTCATGTGTGTATCTGCTGTGGCCAATACGACGGCCATCGTCGCCGGTTGACCTCTTCAAATCTTGTGAATTTGACTGACTTACTGGGTTGGTTTAAGGTGTGTGTTTAAAGGGTAGTATAGATGCTGTCCCTATCAAAGGTGTGGATTTCCTTATTGGAAATGATTTTGCAGGGGAATATTGTTTGACTGATTCTGTTGCCTGTCTTGAGCCTAGAACTTTGACTGGAACTATCAGTTCCAGGTATTTTGGGATTGGGCAAAAGTGCTGATGGGTTAATTATAGGCCAGAAATGAGTCTGTTGAGCAATGTTTAATTATTTTGTCAATGTTTGTCCTGTTCAATTTACAAGAATATCTCCCATGATGACTTTTCGAAGGTTTACTCCATGACGTATATGAACCTGCCATGTCTAGTCTTGCCGTTATGTCTTTATGTATAAATACTACCATTAGATGCTAAAACTTGTAACATTACCATCGGTTGCTTTATGCTTACCGTTTAAACATACATAGTGTACAAATACCTATTCTAGTCACGATATGGTTTAAATATTGCCGGTGTGACTTTGCATTTTAACTCCCTCACTCAAACAACTACTTCAACAAGTGATGATAGTCAACCACTGAAACAAGGTGACCCTCTTGCTGCCGCTTCATCCTTCAGAATCAAGCTCCCACCTATTTATAAATAATTGATTAGTTTTACTGCGGTTACCGCAAGTACATTAAAGACAGGAATCTTTGAGACAACATGTCAGTATCCAACCGAATCTAATCATTAAGCATGCCTTACATCAAAGGTGCAAACTCATTACTGTATACACATTCGCAACAAATTTGTTACGAGATTCCACGTTATTATCGACATATATTTATGTAAGTCTTGTTTGCTGTTCAGCGTCGCACTCATCAAAGTTCCACCTATATGACAGCGTTCTGGAAACAATCAACTTGGAAACGGACCAAACAATCCAGTGACTGAGATCATGAGCATGATGGGACGATTTTCGCATATGGGACACGATAACATGTATCGACACATGGCAAAAAGCTGAGTAGTAATCAATCATTACTTATGTTCGGTTTTCAAAGAAAGTTCACTTAGGTTATTGTCGATTCCCAAAAGCTTTTTACCCAGGTCAACTATATATACTAAACATCTTACATCATGTTACATCACGCAACGTGAAAGCACCAGCTTAATTTGTTCAGATTCTTCTCTTAACTGATTACGTTTAAATACCATCTTACATCCCTTGCGCCTTACATGCATCAGGTTGTTCAGGACTAAATTAACAAAGCCATCCCATCACTGTTACTGCCATACACTGTCCTCAACGCATGGTGGTCTTTATGCTATGAATGCGGTTCTGGGTTCTGTTCCAACGTGCTGTGTCCCACCTGTACACTGCAAGATGTCTGGGCTTCCCTTGAGTTCCGTAGTCTTGAATCCAGGGCATGCATGACAAGATGACATTCCAGATTTGTCCTGATAGAACCCATGTTGACATACCTTGCACTTTTTATTTTCAAATATCTTTCCAGGAGGGCACTTGACTGAAATGGACAGGTAGGTGTGAATATTGTAGTAAATCCAAACTAATGTACCTAAACCTTTTTCTGAGAACAATGATGACGTGCCAAACAGTCTAATTTGGGATGAACATGGACAATGTTCACAGCTGATTGATCAAATTGAAATTATGATAATCTACCATATTCAGACTTGAGACGTAGCCTAGCTGAGCCTGCCATGTAAGCGAGTAATAATTACTTAAGTAATGCACAGTATCTAAACACAAACAGCATGATATCAGTTCTTTTTTTCTTCAATGAAATTATCCTTTATTCCTCCTTCTTTTCCCAGTACAATTTACAACATACACAAACTATGCCAATTCAATTATATCACTACTTACCACAAAACACGCCACCTTGGATGGCACCTTTTGGACACGTCATCATCTGTACAGCTGACATGAATGATGGTTTTAAGGGTTGCTGCTGGTCTACGTTCATGTAGAAATCTGTATAATTTTCACGTCTAACCTCCCAGTTCGTGTCATCAAGTGAGTGCCAAGTTCTCAGGATGTTCCCAAACTGACCTGGAACTGCAATCAAACGGAATCACATTTTGCAGGATACCCCTCTAGTATTATAAACTATATGCACAACACAAGTTTAACAAGCAGCGATCTGGGAATGGTTCGTACACGTCAACGAAAATGTCATTAATACCTCCCAGCATGACAGAGGATGTGAACGACTGTCACAAGTTTTGCACATGTCCAATTTTCGTGTACTATTTCCTAGTTGAGTATGCTGTGGTGTGTTGGAAGGGTGTGTGTGTGTGGTGGTGGTGGTGGTGGTATGTGTGTGGTATGAACATGTACAAGAAATGAAATAATATGTCTTAACAAGATAATCTTTCAGGGACTGGTCACCTATCATGTTAAAATGGTATGTGAATCTGGGGGTGGGATATGATAAAATTAGAACCTATTCATTCTCTTTCTCTGTCTCTCACGCTGTCTTTGTATCTTCTCAAGGTATAACAGATAAAATGAAAGATGACTAAACTCTCGCTAAGATTATTTTTACCTTTTAATATATATCTAATAAACTTTAAGTATACTCTTTAGAGATTGTCAGAGAACCATTTGAACACTGTTATATAAAGTATATTATAACATCGGATTATACCGAGCAATAGATGAAGTATCCGAAAAGTTAGAAAGCGTTGACAGATTTTGTTTGTATCAAATAAGTGAATTGAAACACCAACAAGAAAAGGAGTGTGATTCACGTAAAAAGTACCATAGAGCTGTGAATGCCCTTGATGGAGTTGACACTTCACTTTTATGGGGCTTGGTGCAGCTGGTGTTAGCTTATTGTCAATTATAATAGCCGAGCCTATCGTACTCCATGTGGAGTGAGTAAGTGAGTGAGTATGATTTAACGCCCCCTATAGCAATATTCCAGCAATATCATGGCATGGGACACCAGAAATGTACTCGGTATGAAAATAGTGGCAGGGGTCTCTGGACTAACTGGAATAGTCCTTAAATTTATTTCCCACCAGACACAAAAGTGTGAGAGATGTGAGATATTGGTAACAACCCCTATGTGACTCAAGTGATGCTACAAACTAATTGTGTAGACGCCATATTAAAGACGCTTCCTTGAACCTTTCGAATAGTCATCTTGACATCTGGGATAGACCTCGGGGCTGGAATGCTACTACTCGCTCGTTGACACTGTGGAAGGTTGATATATCAAGGATAGTGCAATGTGAGTACAGTGAGTGAGTGAGTTTAGTTTTACGCCGCACTCAGCAATATTCCAGCTATATGGCGGCAGTCTGTAAATAATCGAGTCTTGACCAATGATCAACAGCATGCGCATCAATCTGCGCAATTGAGAACTGATGAGATGTGTCAACCAAGCCAGCGAGCCTGACCACCCGATCCCGTTAGATACAAAAGAAAGCATTAAAACATGATAGTATTCGTGTTCTAGCCAACACAGAGTTAAATAGCATTGAAGATCATGTCTCAACAGCACTATCCGATAGTAAAATATCAGAGGAAGAGTTTTGCCTAGTGCCGTCAGAACAGAAAAAGTTCATAGAACAGGGAAGAAAACAAGCCCATCAAGCATTCCTTACCAAAACCAAAGAACTGGTAGGAGATTAAAAATGAATTGTTTCCCCGATGTAATTTTTTATTGATGGTACTGCTACTCCTTTAGCAAATGTCTAGTATTCAATAATTGAAATGGTAGTGAACGCCTTTTTTTTAAATAAAAAAAAGATGACAAGTATCATAGTAGTATAAACAATGAGAGAACTGGAACCGCACACCCTTATGTTATTGAGCGTTTGCACCCCATCTCTAGCCCTCAACCCCACCCACAAAAAAAACATTTAGTCGGACATCATTTGGTGTTTAGTGTTTTTGTGAGGGCTGTGGGTCCAGAACTGGGCTGACAACAGTTAATAGGGGTGGTGTGTGGGGTGGGTGGTAGAATACAGCACCTTCAAATGCCAATGATGGATGATCATATGGGTGTACTAGAAGTGAATCGTTGACAACTGATATTTCTAGTGCTCTGCGTTCAGTCATTGTTGGTTCGTCACTGGTATGGGTGAAGACGTTCCATGTTGCAAACAGCGGTCCTAAGTATGTCATTACTGCAAAGAAAAGCAAACTATACAAAATGATACCGTGGTAAATATTATAATAATATATATAAGTAGTAAGCGGGTGAGTGAGTCATAACGTAAAGTCACATAAGCAATAATCAGCCATATAGTGACAAGAAATGTTTTGCACACATAATAGTTAGTGAGTTGATATTCAGCGTCACATCGGCAATATCTCAGCCATATGGTGACAAGAACATTTTATAAATTGAAGATGAATACATTTTGAAGATTAAAACCAGTCGACGATAGGCACTAAACACTGGAAAAAAAGTCCACATTTACTAGCTTGGAAATGTCTTGGAAAGATGATGTTTCCAAGACATTTCCAATTTTGGAAAGATAATGTTTCCAAGACATATCCAATGTTGGAAATATGAGATTTCCAAAAATTTCCACAAGGGGAGATAATAAGTGGGTGATTGGAAATGATTGCAGTTTGCACGCCCCAAGGCCTAATCCCCTGTTAATTGATGAGTGAGTCAAGGCAGTTACGATTCACAAATTAACAAGGCGTACTGCCTTGTTAATTCATGACTGCCTTGTTAATTCATGAGTGAGTTAAGTCAGTTAAGACGGCTTTTGGAAGGAGTTCCAAGCTTCGGGGTGTTCTCTTTTTGCCTGCACGTACTGTTTTGAGATTGAAATTTCTTGACTACTAATCCTTACAACAATGGGGGTTAAAGCTATAGTTTGTTGTAGAAAAGCTGTATGCCAGCGCTTGCTGGTAAACAGTAATGTTTATCACATTTTGTTTATTGCATACAGCAATAGCAAATATACGAATTTAAGTTATTTGAAAATATGGTGACATTTGTAATGTTACTAATAACGCATGTAAAATCATATGCATACACAATATTGCATGTATACAAATATACAAAAATGAATTGTCTGACAATTATGATGAAATTTTAAATCAGCAAATACATAAATAAGCTTTAAATGTGACACCAGGATATATAAACTTTTGTGCACTGTGCATTACACATAAATACATACAAGTGTATTGTTTGTTTCATATGACACAATAATCACATTCACAATCCCACCAGATTGTGCAGTTTTGTAACCGCTTGCCTCGATCATCTCATATTTGATTACTTTTAATGACTAAGTTGACTAATCATTATGAACTGTGTTCAGTGTCATTATGAACTGTGTTTAGTGTGGTCGGCTAGTGACCTTGGTGGTGAGGGGGTACTGAACACAACTTACTTGACAGACTATAATTGTGCAAGCACTGGACTGTTAACCCTAATCCGCTTATAGCCAAGTAAAGTGCCTCTCAAAGAAGCCTGTGGAAGTAAGTTACATCTTTGAAGGGGGTTTAGAAGTGGAATGCATAACAAAAGCTAGATTTATGGATGTCAACTTCTGTATTGTGACCTGATTTTTACCTGATGAAGGAGCAAGCATACGCTCCGAAACGTTGTGTTATTCACAGTAAAGAAGTTGACATCCATAAATCTTGCTTTTTTTATTAAAAATGTAAGTTATTTAAATCTGCTGAGCTGTAGGTTTGTTAAACATTTCGCGATGTGATTATCGCTCTAACACACCTGAGAGATTCGTCAACAGTGATATGCACAGGTGGTGGAAGTTGTATTGTATTGAAATTGGTTGGTTGCATATTGTTTCTGTCAATTTGTATGAATGTGAATGAGGAACCTCGCATAATTATGACATTAAAATCAGACTGAAATTAACATGATTCCATGGTCAATGTCGCAATGTTGGTGAACTGGTAGTATGCGGAAGTTTGCTCCAGATTTTTTATAATCCCTTCTTTTATGCAGATAAAATCATTTAAAAATTAACGAATAATGCCATGCTCCTCTCAGAGTGAGGGAAGATAATTCATGTAGTGTTTTTATCAAATTAGATATTTCTTTTTCGTCTGAACAGAATTCACAAATTACGTATGTTTTGTTTGAATGTGTGTGCATACACTCATATATAACATCTAACTTGATGGGTATTAAAATCAGGCCCTTTGTAACCATAATGACTATATTGGTTGGAACACTTGAAGAACGAACTGAACTGGTACAGTAACATTTCTCATGTCATCATGTGAGATTATTGGGATGCGGTTTACTAAAGTAGAACTTATATCATCTTCAAAAGTTTGGTCATTCGCAAACTGAATCAGATCTCACTTATACTGCAGTAAACAGTATGGGGATACATAATGAAACATACCACTTAAGTGATAACAACTCCCTGTTTATTGAATAGAGCGGCATTTCGATGTACATCGTTCAGGTTAAACAAGCTGATTGAATGTTGATTGCTTCCATCACTTTGACAGTGGAGTGGATTTCGACTTTGTCATACTGAAGTTGATTTACAGCTAGAATCTGTCAATCAGCTGTTCAATTACCATCCAATCAGCCTCTTTACAATTTGTTGATCTTACTCTCCCGCTGCCCCCATCCAACGATGTGCTACTTGCTAGATTATCTGTTAATTTGCTGATTGTCATTATGCATATATACTTCTATTCACCTGGTTGTAGTAACTTTTATCTTGATAACGGTGTGGGAATAAATATGGAAACTCCCTTCTATGCATCAACAAGAAATTGGCATTTGTAAAGTCGTACTTTAAGAATGTGGTGTCCTCCCACTTTGCCAGTTTCATTGTCAAGCAATTAATTAAAGTTAATGGTGCAACAAAGGGGATTAGTAGGGGATTCAACACTTTGCCAATTTATTTCATTTTACAAAATTCACAAAAATATATACGATTCATGTTATATATGAAGTTACAGGTATACGAAAATGAACAAATTATAAATATATATAACTTATAGTCACATAATGTTTCTTTAACGTTTTTATCATTTTTAGCAGATGATTAGTGTTATAAGTTCAGTTACAGATAAATAAATGATACTTACTAGTATATAACTTATAATCATGTAATGCCATTTTAATCAAATACAAACACAATACAAATATTTACAATCCCACTAAGTGGGGGCACCCGTGAAGAGCCACCTCCTCGTGGTGGGTGCTGGGTAACGCTAAGCGCTCTTCAACCCCCCGTTGTGGACCCGGGGGCATATTTGGTCCACCAACCCGTTTGCCGTTGGTTGCGCCCCTGTGTCGGTGGAGGACGGGATTCTGGTGGTTGAGGGCAATAGGATCCTGGAACCGTGTTCCTTTTGCCCAACACACCACTTCGCCCCTTAATTCACCTGGACGGGTGGTAGAACTGGCCCGGTTCTATCAATCGGCTTGTCATGCCGTGCCCTGCGCATGGAAACATTCATTTTGAAATTGTGTAATTTCAACATTATTGAGATTGATTAGAATGAATGTCAACAATAAAATGTGCTATTGAAATTTGCCCAGAGTCCTATGCCAGAAGGCGGTGGCTCATGGGCCAATCTGGCGATGTTGACCACTGAATGATGTATGTCTCTAAGTTATTGTTATGGGCAGAACCACCCTGACAATTAACTTAGTAGACAAATGTAGCTATTCAAGTCATATTTGCTTGAGTATAACATCCCTGTATCCCTGGTGTTTGCATGCTGGAGACCCGATGCAGTTAGACACCATCCTCGTTGACACTCCATGGTGCAGGGCTGTCGAATCAATTTTATATCACCATGGCTCACAATCATTCTGGGTCTATTCGCAGTGAAAAGAACAGACGTTTGGATGCTGAGATATTGTCATCTGATGATATTTCTCTTCCTCAAAATTCAAATTCCAGGGCACGATTCATTGACGTTGACTCAACAGATGGACTCCCTTTGAAATCAACCCTTTCGCTATTAGCAAAGCAATTGAAGGCATTTGTGGTGAAGTAACTAATGTTTCACGGCTCCGAGGCGGCTCTCTTTTGGTAGAGTGTGCCCGACGACAACATGCTATTAATCTTTTGAAATGTACCACTTTTGCAAATACTGAAGTCACTGTCTCAGTACACAGAACTCTAAATTCCAGTCGAGGGATCATCCGCGACAGAGCCTGTTGTCTCGCGGAAATGACTGAGGAAGAAATACTGAAAGAACTTTCTGGACAACATGTGACTTCATTGAAACGTTTCATGAGAAGAGATGGAGATGTAATTATCCCCACAAATACTTATTTGTTCACTTTTTCGCTAACGGCTATCTCCAAATCCATTAAGGCAGGCTATTTTAACATCGGAGTGGAGGTGTATGTCCCCAATCCACTCAGGTGTTACAATTGTCAGAAATTTGGACATGGTTCCAAATTCTGCAATCGTCCATCTCTATGCCATCGTTGTGGAGGGAATCATGAAAGCTCTGGTTGCAAAGCAGAACTGAACTGTGTTAATTGTAAGGGTCAACATGACGCATCTTCCAAATCTTGTCCTTCCTGGATATATGAAAAGGGTGTTTTGACTGTACAATGTCAAAACAATATTTCTTTTCAAGATGCTAAAAAGGTTGTCGCTAGCCGGCTACCTCCTTCAACACAAAGCTATGCTGCTGCTGTTTCCCGCACTTCCTCTACTAGATCAATTGAATGTCAAACTGACTTGACATGGGCGAAAACGGAACACCCTGAGCCTATTACCAAAGCATCTAACAGTCACACGAATTATTCAGACAGTCAACAATGTTCCACTTCTCCAGCATCTCAGTTTACACCAGCTACTGCAACAACAGCTCCAATAAAAGTATCAAGCGAAGTGTCTAAAAATCAAAAGAAAAAACAAAATAAGAAAATTAAAACTAAGATTGCCACTCCTACTGAAACATCAGTAGATCTACACAACTTTCTTGACCTTCTCGAGATGGATTTTACTCCATCTTCAGACCGTATGAGTAGTAATAACTACTCTTCACGTTCACGTGAGAGATCACCTATAGACCCACCATGAGCCATTCCAGTCTTCTTCAATGGAACTGCAGAGGACTTAGGCATAATTTCCATGAACTGCAGTTATTAACAACAGATATAAAGCCATCAGCTATTTGTTTACAGGAAACGTACCTTAAA